TGACAACAAATATATATAAGCAGGTAGGTATAAAGTATTCCGACTTGCAAAAAAGGAAGTTTGTTATATAATATCAGTGCTTAATTGACTTGTTTCAAGGAAGAACTGATTTTTTTGACTAATTTACATTCAGACACTGAAAGAAACAGTTTCAGACAACATTGAGATGTTTCGATTAAAAGAATTTTAATTTTCAGAAAACTTACAAAAGCTTCATCATCTACGTTCTTTCCTCTAAAACTATTTAGCAAACTATATTTGACTATTTTCGAGACACAGGAAAATGAAGATCACAGTTCCTTTTTTAATGATTTAAGTAGAGATTTATTCAAATATCTACATTGTACTGTTCTTTTGTGTAAAGTTTTGAAATTTCTAGCTTTCAATAATCTGCCTTCCTCTGTCATTAACGATGAGCAGAAGCTCAAAACCTCGACACACAACACTATACCATGAATAACCATGGACGGAACCTCTCTATCTGTATTTGTGTTGTATTAAGATTTACTCAACTAAATTCAAATTTGTATTGCCATACTGTACCTTTTATATTGATGTCTGATCAAAGAATATTTCACGAAGACTTATAGATGAACTTCAGATGGGAGTTGTTTTTGAAGACCGATGCGCTAACACGAAGACAATGGACTGACGACTAGTCAAATGACTCACGGTGTTTCCCAAATAAACTATAAACGCAGATTATGTCAGAATATATTAACTAAGTATCAGTCGTTGGAAACAGTCATGAATGGATGACCATATTGTTATGGAAGACTGCAGCATAGAATCTTGTTAGATATAGGTCTAGATTTGTCTCTGTCTCTGGATATAGTCATGTGGTTGCTGTAATCTTGTATAATCTTGTAGCAGGGGAAGGCTGCAACTTTTGTTCTACTTTATAACTGTTCTTTAAGATTTTCTTTCTGGGAATGGGATTCTAAACTGAGATTCTCTGACAAGCAAATGAAGACCTTCCTTAGCTCTGCTCTTACCTTTAAAAGATAGTTCAGCGCAATTTGATTTTATTATAAGTACAGAATCACAGAAGTCCTTGATGGGGTGTGTTGGTTTCAATCGTTGATGTGCACAGTCATGGAAGTCACATGATCTTTATCATAAAAGCCCCTAAAACCTGTTTTAAAAACCGGTTTGTGAAAAGCGTTGTCACTTAGAGTGTGGGTCACATATTTTTTGCTGACATATCCCTAAAAGCCCTAATAAAAAAAATGAAAGATAAATAAAGTAATGGGAAAAAGACCAAAAAAATAGAGCAACAACTGAAAAGTACTGATTGATTTATTACAATGACGGCCGCCATCTTGAATTCTATGATTTTCAGTATCGTTGTAGTAAGGAACTATGGTATGCTATGAAAAATATTTTTTATATTTTTGGAAGCACGACTTATTTATTAAGAAGCCTCCTATATGACAAGTTTGGACAAAAGACAGTGTAAAAAGTACTTTTCCTTCGTGGACATCAATGATTTATTGATATTCAGTCGGAATTCAATATTGCGGTCGTATGTGACAAGGTGGTGCGGTTCACGCTACGATGTAAGCATAAGCACTAAAAACACACAAACAAATGAAAACAACAACAAAACAATAGATTTAGGGACAGAAAGTGACGAACAGTAATTTAAATTCAACGAATTTCAAAACCAAAAGGAGTAATCATTGTTTTTTTCCTACTGTTTCTGATTTTCTTCCAGCCAGGCCTTTATGCAAAATGTCAGACTTTTACTGTACAGTTTGATTTTTATTTCTTGCTTTTACATGTCTTTCACTAATATTTGTATAAAATTATAGAAATAGATTATCAATTTGAAAAATATTTAAAGCAATTAAAAAATATACGTTATTGACGTACAGGGAATTCCATTAACGTTGTTTACTTGTAAATACATGAAGACAATACATTCATTTGCATTAAAAAAAGAGCTTTTAGAGCTTTATCTTCAATGTTCTCGCAAAGAAATCAAAAAACACGATATATGCAAATGACTTTGTTGTTGTGTCATGTCTTTACAACTGAACAACGTTATTGGGATTAGCTGGTCACTAACGGACCAGTTTCGCGAATTTGCACAGGACGACGTCTAGAAACTGACTTGGCAAGTGTTTTAACACCTAATAGAGTTAATTATTAACCATACTGTGAAAAAAAATATCAGCTCCAATGCCTGCCAGCAAAAAAAAATATCGAAATTACCAGCCAGGAATAAGTATACGTTAAAAACGGTTTCCAAGCCAGCATTTATACTAATATTCTATTTTCCCAGCCAGGAATTTAAGAATCATTTCCCAGCCAGGATTCTATTCTAAAATTGTTTTCCACCCATGGCAACCGCTATTTTTGTTTTGTCACCTAGATTAATTGAAATGGGTATCCTATCTTTCATATTCGTTTTGGTTTGGTTTGGTTTGGTTTTAATTAAGCGTTTGGAATCCGAATTTGGAAAAGTGATAGTTAAAATACGTGCGAGGCCCATCGCACTGTATGTTTAATAATCTGGATATTATTACACTAGTGCAGAAGTAATCTTAAAGTGATTAAAACCAGAAAACTGCAGGTTACCTATAATAACCAGAAGGTTAACTAATGACAGATACTAACCATTTAAATAACATTAAATTTAGAGCTTAGAAAAATTAAGATTATATGTAAAAATACCTTTAATGCGTTCGCTAGGAAATTTTCAAAACATTACTGCAGTCTCTAATACATATGTCTTTAAACTACGTTGGAATTAACCGATTTTAACTTCTTGTCTAAAGATATCAACCATAATCACCTATACTGTGAAATTCCTAAGAACGTAGCGAGAGCCTGAAATTTTTTGATGTTAAAAACATAGTACATTGATTTAAAATAATCTATAATTTTTYTCTTCTCTACATTCATCAAATGTACCCTACGCTCCTGAAATCCCACATATATCATTATAGTAATCGTATCATTTCTAACTTAAARKTCAATAATTGATAGTAAATGCCAGGTAAAGACACAGTTCATTGATGTATTATTGGCGGTATGTCAGCAACCACGATGAACAATTGAAGGCTTGAAGATAACAAAGGGCAAAAAAGCATGGAGTAATAAAATGTCTGGTAAAGACACAGTTCATTTGATACATTATTGGTGGAATGTCAGCAATCTCGATGGACAATTGAAGTCTTGAAGATTAAAAAGTGGAGTAATAAAATGCCAGGTAAAGGCACAGTTCGATCATTGGTTGAGAATTGAAGACTTGAAGATAACAAAAAAGAAGCATGGAGTAATAAAATGCCAGTTAAAGGCACAGTTCATTGATACATTATTGGTGGAATGTCAGCAACCACGATGAACAATTGAAGGCTTAAAGATTAAAAAGGCAACAAAGCATGGAGTAATAAAATGCCAGGTAAAGACACAGTTCATTGATACATTATTGGTGGAATGTCAGCAAACACGATGAACAATTGAAGGCTTGAAGATTAAAAAGGCAACAAAGCATGGAGTAATAAAATGCCAGGTAAAGACACAGTTCATTGATACATTATTGGTGGAATGTCAGCAAACACGATGAACAATTGAAGGCTTGAAGATTAAAAAGGCAACAAAGCATGGAGTAATAAAATGCCAGGTAAAGACACAGTTCATTGATACATTATTAATTGGCGGTATGTCAGCAAACACGATGAACAGTTGAAGGCTTGAAGATTAAAAAGGGCAAAGAAGCGTGGAGTAATAAAATGCCTGGTAAAGGCACAGTTCAGTGATACATTATTAATTGGCGGTATGTCAGCAATCACGATGAACAGTTGAAGGCTTGAAGATTAAAAAGGGCAAAGAAGCGTGGAGTAATAAAATGCCAAGTAAAGGCACAGTTCATTGATACATTATTGGTGGAATGTCAGCATTCACGATGAACANTGATTTAAAATAATCTATAATTTTTCTCTTCTCTACATTCATCAAATGTACCCTACGCTCCTGAAATCCCACATATATCATTATAGTAATCGTATCATTTCTAACTTAAAGGTCAATAATTGATAGTAAATGCCAGGTAAAGACACAGTTCATTGATGTATTATTGGCGGTATGTCAGCAACCACGATGAACAATTGAAGGCTTGAAGATAACAAAGGGCAAAAAAGCATGGAGTAATAAAATGTCTGGTAAAGACACAGTTCATTTGATACATTATTGGTGGAATGTCAGCAATCTCGATGGACAATTGAAGTCTTGAAGATTAAAAAGTGGAGTAATAAAATGCCAGGTAAAGGCACAGTTCGATCATTGGTTGAGAATTGAAGACTTGAAGATAACAAAAAAGAAGCATGGAGTAATAAAATGCCAGTTAAAGGCACAGTTCATTGATACATTATTGGTGGAATGTCAGCAACCACGATGAACAATTGAAGGCTTAAAGATTAAAAAGGCAACAAAGCATGGAGTAATAAAATGCCAGGTAAAGACACAGTTCATTGATACATTATTAATTGGCGGTATGTCAGCAAACACGATGAACAGTTGAAGGCTTGAAGATTAAAAAGGGCAAAGAAGCGTGGAGTAATAAAATGCCAAGTAAAGGCACAGTTCATTGATACATTATTGGTGGAATGTCAGCATTCACGATGAACAATTGAAGGCTTGAAGATTAAAAAGGCAAAGAATTATGGAGTAATAAAATGCCAGGTAAAGGCACAGTTCATTGATACATTATTGGTGGAATGTCAGCATTCACGATGAACAATTGAAGGCTTGAAGATTACAACAAAGAAGCATGGGGTATTAAAATGCCAAGTAAAGGCACAATTCATTGATACATTATTGGTGGAATGTCAGAATTCACGATGAACAATTGAAGGCTTGAAGATAACAACAAGGAAGCATGTTTTCTGCATATTTTCACTTGAGTAAAAGCTATTTCAATTTATCTCGATTAGCAGTATAATGCGACCATAACAATAAGCCAACCTTTCATTTTGTTTTCTATATAATATTTTTATCAACAAGAAGTTAAGGTCACACATCTCGAAGTTAATTTCTTTGTGGATTATGTTGGGAACATTGTCATTTGAAATAATTCATTTAAAACTTAAATACGTAATCTGGATTCTTTTCCTTAATAGCACGAGCACTTTCCAAGCAATGGCTCCCTTCTTCATCTTTCTTCAGTTTGACCAAGAGATGTCCAAGATTGTTTAAAATAATGGCAATTTTTGGATGGCTTCCATCTAATGCTTCTTCGTTGATTTTCAGTGCTCTTTCAAAGTAGGCTTTGGCTTGTTCGTATTCATCAAGACTTTCAGAGAGTTTTCCAAGGTTGTTCAGAGTCATAGCAAAATCAGGATGAAGTGCACCTAATGATTTTTCATTGATAGCTAATGCTCTTTCMAAATTCAGTTTGGCTAGTTCGTTATCTCCCTGTTCCAGCTGRAGTTGTCCCAGGCCATTTAATGTYCTTGCTACTCGTGGATGGTCTTCACCATATGCARCTTCAAGAATTGTAAGTGACCTTTCAWAAGAATCCTTRGCTTYCTCGTTGAGGCCCAAAGCGTGYAGTGAAAGTCCCAGTTTATAAAAGTCAATTCCTATATAAGGATGCGTTTCGTCAAATACTGTTTTGTCAATGGCTATTGCTCTTTCTATACACTCCTTTGATTCTTTATATTCCCCACTGTCACTCAATACTATTCCCAGATTAGATAATATTGCACCCATATAGCTGTGATTGCTTCCATACGTGCTTTCGGCGATTGCAAGTGCTTTTTGGAGACACTCATTTGCTTGTTTGTAACTTCCAAGATTACTCAATGCTAATCCTAGAATATTTAAACTTGTAGCCACATGAGGGTGATTGTCTCCGTACGTGCTTTTKWWGATGGCAAGTGCTTTTTCGTGATACTCCTTTGCTTCTTTGTAACTTCCAAGATTACTCAATGCTGATCCTAGATTATCCAAACTTGTAGCCACATCAGGGTGATTGTCTCCGTACGTGCTTTTTCTGATGGCAAGTGCTTTTTCGTGATACTCCTTTGCTTCTTTGTAACTTCCAAGATTACTCAATGCTAATCCTAGATTTCTTAAACTTGTAGCCACTTCAGGGTGATTGTCTCCGTACGTGCTTTTGTAGATGGCAAGTGCTTTTTCGTGATACTCCTTTGCTTCTTTGTAACTGCCAAGATTACTCAATGCTGATCCTAGATTACCTAAATCTGTAGCCACTTCAGGGTGATTGTCTCCGTACGTGCTTTTGTCGATGGCAAGTGCTTTTTCTTGATACTCCTTTGCTTCTTTGTAACTTCCAAGATCACTCGATGCTGATCCTAGATGACTTAAACTTGTAGCCACTGAAGGGTGATTGTCTCCGTACGTGCTTTTGTAGATGGCAAGTGCTTTTTCGTGATACTCCTTTGCTTCTTTGTAACTTCCAAGATTACTCAATGCTAATCCCAGATTATTTAAACTTGTAGCTACTGAAGGGTGATTGTCTCCGTACATGCTTTTTTTGATGGCAAGTGCTTTTTCGTGATACTCCTTTGCTTCTTTGTAATTTCCAAGATTACTCAATGCTGTTCCTAGATTACTTAAACTTGCAGCCACATGAGGGTTTTTGTCTCCGTACATGCTTTTGTTGATAGCGATCGCTTTTTCTAAATATTCCTTGGCTTCTACAAATTTGTTTAGGTGAAACAGCAATATTCCTAAGTTATTTAAACTTGTAGCCACTTCAGTGTGAGTGTTTCCGTAGGCCATCCTGGCCATTTTTAGAGATTTTTCATAACACTCCTTTGCTTCACGGTATTCACCAAGG